TTCGCTCTTAGTTGCTTTCTCTGACTTATCAGCCTTCCCACTTTTCTCCTCTTCCTAAAACTAGTGAAAATACTGCCTGGAAAGACAAGAACGAATCTAGCTGACCTTAGATGAACTGAGACCGAATACTGGCGCCAGAGGTTTGTGGAAAACGTCCGCTAAATCATCAGTCATTTTGAGATATAAATCAACAACCATGTGTGCGCGAGCCAACAAGCAGTCAATTATAGCCGCTTTGCGCTCGTCCATATTCCTAAAATGATGTAATTGAGTGTTCAATGCAAAAACAATTATTGCGTGATCCAGAAACACACTTTTTGAGAGAAATTTGGTCTAGATTATGATCCTGTCTGGCTCCTAAGTACTTCAGCACTTCATCAACTCGACACTGCTCGAGAATTTGTTGGATAATCAGGCGCATTGTATCGGCCTCCGTTGTAGAACGCTGAAAGAAGAAAAGATAGCAGACGATTAACAATAAGCAGGGTGCGATTCAGTCACCTTTTTGTCCATGAGAAGTTTCATCTTTGTGAGAAGCAGCGGTAGATGGGTAGGATATTTTGCAATGAGCTCCGAGTACAGTTTATCAACAGCGATTGGATCCTTGAGTTTGACGAGCCAGGAGATTTGCGCATCACGGATTGCATCTGTATTAAATTAGAATTAGAATTATACCATTCTATACAGTCTGTGTCAATCATGTGCTCCCTTTTCCGTAAGAGCAATCGCCAAGCCAGAGCTGCGCCACATTCGCGAGCGTATAGTTAGTTTGGTAATCAAATTAGCCTCATTGATTGAAGGTCTGCACGCAAGACTCTCGCGTTGCGCATGCGTAGTTCCCACGTGAAAGATAGTATGTAATTGACACAGGCTGTACCACGGTTTGCGACGAGAGAAAGGATGAAGCCTACACACATATAGGTTGCTGCATGACGAAGACAATAGCTTTGGGCGTGAACGCGGCTTTATTAGCCGCAGAGCGCATAAGACGCAGGATTCACAACAGCGAAGATATGCTCGCGCCGCGTTCGCGCCCGCTCAACTAGTAATGCTTCTGTGCCTTCGCGATGAAGTAGCCTTTAAGTTACGACATCCAAGCAATCTAGGTACGCATAAACTCGTACCAAAGGGCAAAATCACAAAGCGAAGCCGAATCTCACCATTCATATCCTTCTCTTCTTGTCCACTAGCATCAGCCTTCTTTTCTCTAAGCGTCACCATTGAGAGCGCTTTGCTTGGTCTCGTGCTATACTCGGTAAAGAAATAACTGACACCCGACTTATCTGCCTAAACCGCGGTATCAGCTTTCGCTTCTCTCATCTAATAAGGTAACAGTCAGAAGTCGATGTACAATGCTTATCAGCTGCTCGTTGTTTGAAAACGTATGGTTGAAGACAGGCACATCTGGATACATGGAGTTAAGGAAGTGCTTTAGGGCCATAGAATGAATCTCCACGCAAAACCGCATGTGTCCAGACTTGCCTATCTTTGACTTGTCAGCTAGTAGCAATTGGTCATATCAACTTCTGAACATTTTCTTTCAAGCAGACAAACCTGCTTCAGTTCCGTGTCGCTCATCACAACAAGACTACCAGTAAGAAAT